TCTCTTACTCTGTGTCAGAGGGTCCAGGTCTGAAGTTTAGAGGTGCTTCTTTGGACTGGTCACTCTTCATAGAGGGACAGCTGGGTCCTGGAGACTCTGGTCTGTCCTGGTCTTCCTCCATCGTGGGAGGGGCCACAGTTACAGGAGCTGCTGCTGCTGCACAGGGATTAGTTACAGCTCAGTTCACTGGACGCTTTGGCTTCCCAGTAACAGCACCAGTAGCAACCTCTGTTCTGGGAATCAGTGCTGCTGGGTTCAGTGCAGAACAAAGAACAGTGTCACGATTCGGTTCCGCTGCTTCCTGTCAGGCTTTTATTTTGACGTTACTTCCTGTTTTTGTTTCACCTTAGTTTCGGTCTTTTTACGTTCTTCATCACTCACATTTGTTTCACCTGTTTCATTATTGTGTGTGTTACCGGCGCCAGCCCTAGGGGAAGCTGGGCAGTAGCAAGTGGCACACAGTCAGCGTGGTACTGTGTTGCCTAAATGTGTGTGTTCAACTATGGCTGTGGATAAGGAGAGAGGACATGTTAACCAGGCCATAGCTTGTTTAATTCTGAGGCCGTGCCTGCACTTAATCTCTCCCGTCTCCACAGTGTGATGTTCACTTATCAAATCATTCACTAACAGAGATTTGGACAAGAGAGATCTGATATTTAATAGACCACATTTGATTGTCCTATTGTTTGGTTCTATAAGAGGAGTCCTCTTCATTTTAATTAGGTTATTATGAATAACTCTTCTTGAGTTGGTTTGTGGTTTATATAATTTAGGGGGTGGGGGCAGACACAGTCTCTATGGGGTACTGGGAGTTTTGGGCGCGTAACAGGTAACACATGGTGGAAGCGTTTTGTGCACGCATCTCACGCTGCAGATAGAAATCCATGATACCAGATGAGTCCGTCCACACTGAGTCCTGTAGAGCCCTCGTTGCCAGGCTGCTGTTTAAACCACATGAATCCTGTTGTTTTCTGATTCTTCTAGTTTCTGTTCAACGCACCGCTCATGTCTCGTCCTGTGCGTTTTACCAGTAAGACTGCGCCTCTGCGTCGTGGTCTCAGCTCTCGGTTGTCACAATTTAGGTTGGACAATAAACTCGTCCAGATTTCTAGATATGAGCCGCACCATCCACAGTGGGATGGATGTGGTTTCTGCTAATCAGAGCAGGTTTTCCCCAGTAGAAGAAGGTCGGATTAACACTCAAAGTGCCTCGGCCTTCGGTTTCCCGCTGTTGACTCAACATGGAGTCTCAACTCTTGTCCTGTTCCCTGTGTTCTCAGGTACCTGGGTCACCTGATCACGGTGGCTCCGCCCCCCTCCATTTACAGGTAATCACCTGAGTTTACCGGGGTTGGGAGCACAGCATGTTTGTGCACAGATCAGACCGTCACTGCTGTCATGACTCCAGACTGTCAGTCAGTTCATGTTAAACCTGGGAAACCTTGAAGCTGCACAGATCCAGTAAACTCACGTGGTTATTGGCTGAGTCCTGAGGCTCAGCTGACGACTTTATATTCACAGGTGTTCCTAATAATCTGACCTGCTCGTGTATGAAAATGGGGAGGGCAAAAAGTTTTTCCAGATAGCATCTGTTCAGTATTCTTCAGTGGCAGAGGTACTCAGGTCCTTTACTTCAGTAAAAGAAGTAGTAGTTTCAAGAAGAAGTAGTTTCATCGAGAGTTTCTTGATGAAAACCACAGACACACTCTGAAGTGTTGGGTAGAAAACCTGAGTGCTCACATGGTGTTGGAGGAGACTCGACAGGTCAGACTGACGACAGGAAACAAGTGAGTCTGAGGTGAATTTGAATTTACCCCCCCCCCCCCCTTCATGAAATGACTGTTTACTGAAGGATCTCCATTGATTAAACACAACAGCAGCTCTGAGCCTACTTTATAAGAAGGATGAAGGTTTAAAGCTGGAAGGAGGAGAGAGCTTTGTCTTCCTGTTCAATAACATGTGATGGACTGGGTGTGTCCAGTAGGTGGCGCTGCTCCTCCAGTTTACATGGAGAGAAACTCAGGGCTGCTCAGTCAGACCGAGTCTGAGTCTGGTTTCTAGTTTCACTCTGTCTGTGCAGCTTCACTCAGAAAACAAACATAGACGTGTTCAGGTCTTATTTAAAGTCTGTGTTTGCAGACAGACTCTCACTGACTTTGCTCACACTGACGGCCCCTTTGTTGTCACCACCTTCACTCAGATGAAGCCTGACATTGATCTTCATAACACTTGACCTTTTCTAAAACCAGCCTGATGAGTTTCCTGCTGTGTTGTTGTTGGTGAGTTCTCATGGTCGCATGATTTCTGAGAATTCAGGACAATAATGAAACTGAAAGTTGAGAGCAGACACACAGACTGAGTTTCTCACTGAGGAGGACTGAGCATGCTCAGTGCTGGTAGGTAGGTAGGTTAGACCTGGTCAAGTAAAACAGTGAGTCCCTGTACAGGAACATTCCCAGACATGCAGTAACTTCAGGCCCTGTGTTTGTCTCCACATCCTCTGGTCACAGTGCAGCAGGAGGGAAAATATATCCACAAAGCCAGATATAGTCCAAAAATTCCACTTTTACAATGGCACTAGTGGATGTCGGGCAAGCTGACACGAAATTATGACCATTTAAGGAAATCCTTAAAGTATAATACTTTATTTTGTTAGGAAAAAGGTCTCGCAAGTGAGAGTTTGGGAGACAAATAAACCAAGTAGCTTCTGCAAAGAAGTATTAGAACATATGTACACCTCATTCTTTTAGCTTTAGGTCACATCTAAAATGATGATTCACTGTTGTTACATTGTAGATAAGTCAGAAAACAAGGAAAAGTGCCATGGGCTCTTTAATGAAAGATGAACATCTTTTGACTCTGGTCTAGTTCCAAACTGAGCTTTCATTCTGTTCCTTGCTGCCTTCACATCTTGTCAGGGTTGTTGTTACAGTGTTTGTAATGTTGGAGCCATGATGTGTTTTACTGATGTGTACTGTGGAAACCTGATCTGGGCCAGTAAACGACAGGCTCACACCAGTGAGGATTCCTCAGTCTTTTGAAAAAACACTCAAAGTCTTTTCCGTCTGAAGCAAAGCATAGGATTTATTACAAAAAGTCACAAAAATCTCTGTTTCTGGCTCATGAAGCAGAACAGAGAACATACAAACCTGGCACAGAAAGGCCGCAGGTCGGCCCAGGCTCGAACCTTCATGCTGTGAGGCGACAGTGCTAATCACCACGCCGCCCAGTCTAGGGATATGAAGTCAAAATAAAATGGGTAAAACCAAACTGACTGAGCAAACTGGCCAAACTGACACAAAAGGGGAACATACTATAAACACTGGACGATCAGGATCAAAGTTAAAAATCAACTATGAATACAACAGCAAAGCACAGTTATCTTTATCAGTTTTCATAAACCTGGAGCCTGCAGGCTATAAAACCCATCTCATCTGATAAGGAGCACGTTCAGCTGAACTTTGTCCTTTTTATCAAACACACCTTTATCGTCTGTGGAGCTGTCGACTCTGGAAAGAGTCAGAGCTACACTTTGGACACAGATCACATGATTACACAGAAATAAGGTGTGTGTCTCTGTCTCTCTCTCTTTCATGCACACACAGATGGTGTGTGTGTGTGTGTGTGTGTGTGTGGTGGGCTGGGAATCGAACTGGTAACAGCAGCAGAAAATTAAAACAGGGTAATTAAAACAAATTAAAGAACAGACATAACAAAAGAGAGCAGAAACAGAAATGATTCAGACATAATGATAATGAAACAGGGTTATCAGCAGGAGACCAGATCCAATCCTACAGAGGCAGCACAACTACAGTCTCTAATCCACCAGGCAGCAGTGACAGTTACCATTATGTGACATCTGCCGTTTGCTCAGCTCCTCGGTGCTTCTGGGACCACAGTCGTGTCATTATGTAAATCTGTGTGTTGTTGCATCGTTATGGCCAGTTTGTCGTTTCCTAGAGTCTGAGCAGGAGGGAGCATTTAGATGTGAAAGAGAAGACTGCAGTGCTCACATGCTGGACACAAAGTAGTCCCTGTCCTTCAGACAGGATGTAGTCCAGGTCTAGGTGGGTCACTGTGGACGTAGCTGCTACATTAGGTGGGCTTAGTGTCCAGCAGATGGTCCGGGGACAGGACATGGCCACTTGTTTTTGTGGGCTTCACTCCATCCTCAGCTGTAGTTTAAGGTGCACAGACCTGAGTCCTGGCAGGGCCCTGGGCTCACACCTGTGTTATCTGGTGTTCAGGTGACCACAGATCAGACCTGGGCATTTTACGGCCCACAGGCCACTTTGGGCGTCCCTGTCCGGCCCGCGTGAGGTCCATCAAATCAGAACATGAATGAAAAAAGTTCACGGGTGAACTTAAGACCCCCGACCTACCGGGTGAGAGGCAGGTGATGTTGGCCAGCTAACCCTCAAAATGTCAAGTTATCGTTGGTTCGACCCTCCAACACAGTTCAGGTTTCTCCCTTGTAAAAATTAATTGCCCACCCCTGCCACAGATCAAACCTTATATGCTAAATAAATAACAAAACCATGTGACAGATTAAGATTCATAACATGTTCCAACCGTTGAACTTACACAGTTCTAATGACAGTGTTTGTCTGTGAAGTACTTCAGTCAACTACTGGTTGTTTTTCAGGTGATTTATAAGTAACATTTGATTTGACATGAGTTTTGGAGTCTGTCTTGGTTTAATGACTCAGCCCCCCCACCCCCCCATTACCTACTTTATCTGCAGAAGGTCCAAGACGACCTGGTCCCTCTTTAGCTCCAACTCTACCAATGTTTCCAAAGACGTCGTCTACAGACATGTCTCTAAACCTGTGTGACCCTGTGACCACGACCTGTGTTGACCTGCACGTCTGAATGACACGTTTCTCAGTAGGCGGTTGATCTGTCTTTTGTGTGTTTGTGCAGGTAAACTACAGGTAAACCTCAGAGCTGTGGGCAGTTTCTCTACCTGCATGTTCTTTATCTGTATCTTCTGTTGGGCATTTCACATGGGACAATTACAGAAGGAAAACAGAAAGTATGAGATCGATGAAGGGAGGAGACACAGTGTTTCTGTGAAGTCATGTGACCACAGAGCGCCCTTCCTCCTGCTGATATGAAACCTGTGAACACTGATCCTCTCTGCTCTCTCTGTCCTCAGAATCACTGAGCCGCCTGAAGCCGACGACACAGGTAAGATCACTTTGAAACAGGAGGGATCAGATGGTTTCAGACGTCAGGATCAGGAGATGAAAAGATTCAAAATAAAACTTGAAGTGATTCACTAACTAATTGTTTCATTAATTAAGTACATTCTTCTGATAGATGTGTAGTGGTTCAAGTTAATATGTACTATGTAATGAAAAACCATCAGAGTGGGTAGATTACACACAAACAGTACATTTATAGCTAGAGTTAAAAGATGCTTACATAACTTGGGCATAACTTCAGCCTTGTGTGAACTGTTCCTGTATTGTAAAACAAGCAGCTTTGATGCCAACACATTCTGTAAGCACATAAAATTTAACAACAATAGCAACATGTAACCGGCAGGTTGGCCACGCCTATACCGCCAGGTGAGCAATTTGTTGTGTTGATCACAGATATAAATACCACAGGACAGGAGTGCCAAAAATGACTGACTCTTTGACAATTCTCTTATTTAATACTTTTATCTGCAGAGACGGTGATTCTGTTCCCTATCTTTCATTGACGACCACTGACTGAACTGTTCGCCGCCCGGCCGCAAACGTCACCTTCTTCACCTGTGGAGCTGCAAAGTGAACAGCGAGGACTGAGCGCGCTCAGTGCTGCTCTGCTCAGCCCCGGCCAACTCCTGCAAACAGGTAAGAGCAACAACCAAGGGACACACAGCAAGGAAAAAAAGACCCCTCATTAACTGAGAAGGAGAAAAAGTACTTTTATCTAATTATAGCAAAAGTCCTCAGTGGACCTGCTGGTCCAGGAGCAGATGTCTGAATTGTTGCATGGTGTTTTGTGATGTGTCTTTGTCTCTGCTCACAGACCCGTCCTGATAAACGGCAGCAGCCTCTAGTACCTGTTCAACTTCTCTGCAGACTTTGGACTAAGCTTCCTTCAAATGGGCCAGAAACACAGCAAAAGACATAGCAGTAAATATCCTCCTAGTTTTTCTAAAAAAGATGCAGCTTTATTCATCAGGCATTTTGACCAAGATGGACCCAGGATGGAACGGATCATATATGAGCTTCAAAAGATCTCTGTTGACAAAATAAACATAACAGACAAATCCAAAGCAACAACAACGCTAGGAGCTGTTATTACGGGAACCGGAGCTGTATTGGCACTGGGTGCAGCTCCGTTCACTGGAGGCTTGAGTTTAGCAATAGCTGGAATTGGAGCAGCAAGTTCTGTTGCTGGAGGTCTCACTATTGCTGGAGGCTCCATAAACGAGAAAACAATGTTAGAAGAATGTCGAAGGAATGTGGACAAATTAACAACAGAGTTCAGGACAATTGTTGAGTCACTGAGGATAGTGCTGACAAATCTAAAGACCGTGTGTGGAGAACCAAGAACATTTTCAGCTACAGACAGTTTGACAGATGTTATTAATGAGTATAAAATGGTTTTGGAAGAGTTTAAAAGAATGAAAGTAGAGCTCCAAAGAATTTGAGGTTTGTTTAATGAAACAGCACATCTCTGGTGTGTGTGTCAGTTGGAAGGAGGCTGTGGTGTGTGTGTGTGTGTATGTATTTACCAAGAACACTGTGTTTTCATAACCTTCTAACTTGTACAGTCGTGGTTCATGGATGTGTCGGGGTAGTTCTTGACAAAGTGTCTACAGTTTGGTTTGAAGTTCATGTTTTCTCTTCTTATAAATGTAGGATTTCCACAATGTTATCATCTGGCTTAACTTAACCCATGACAGTATGACTGGTCAATAACCCTCAGTGCAGTACCTGTAAATATACCTTGTACATATAGAACCTAGACTGTGTATGTATGTATGTATGTACAGGCCTCTATTTATAAGTACTTTTTATTTTTATCTCATTTCCTAATGCACCTTCCTTTGTTTGTTTGCACATTACTTTCTTTACTTCTGTTCTCAGCTTTATATTGTTTACTTGACCACTGGTGCCTTACATAAGGACGTGCACATTGAGAGCCACTGTACCAGAGTCAAATCCTCGTGTGTTCAACACACCTGGCCAATAAAACTGATTCTGAACCTGTAGCTGGATGTTTGCCTCGTCTGTCTCCTGATAAAATGCTGAACACTGATTTAAATAAAATGGTCTGAAAAACTGTACTTTTGTAAACCTGTTTTTTTCCAGTGAAATCACAAAACTCTTCAGTACCAAGCCTAAACGTCTCTCATGTTTGTTTACTGGATATATCAGCAAAACGTTCTCACCCACAGCCAGCGAGTCACGGAGGCAGCTTTTGGTTACATGCACAAATCCATGACCTCACAGTCCTTTTCTAAACTCTGTTTTCTTGTGCTTTAAAAGCACAGGGAAGCAGAGTTGTGCTCCCTCTATACCAATGACTGCACCTCAGGAGACCCCTCTGTAAAAATCCTGAAGTTTGCCAACGACACAACTAGTGATGTGTCATGCGCAAAAGATGCGGCTCTGAGAGCCGATGCTTTATAGTGAATCAGAAGAGCCGACTCGCATCGACTGAGACCCGACTCCCAGTTTTTTTCCTTTCGCTGCTCAGTGCTCAGCCTGAGCTCTGCTCAAGTCAGAACTTTGTTTTGATTGGTCAGCAATGGCATCGCGGCCAATCAGATGTGAGGATATAGGATCATACCATTATGTGAAAACAGAGAGGGGGGCGCTAAGAAGTGGAGCGCCGGCTCCACTGCAAGTTAACTGTCTAACTAGAATCTGTCTGTCAGACAGCGGTGAGGAGAGTGTGTGAGTGCCTCGTGTAGTTGCGTATTGAAACTATGAGTGACACCCGAAAGCGAAGCAGCATCTGGCTGCAGTTTAAAGATACTGGAAACAACAAAGCAGAGTGCCTTCACTGCAAAATGAAAATAACTTTAAGAGCAGGTTCCACCACAAACCTGCATAGACATATCAGAACTGTCCATCCTACAGTGCAGTTAGAGGAGAGAGGGCAAGCTAGCACACCGTCTA